TTTTGGCTATTTGGCTGAACTGATCGTGATCAGTTCAGAGGCTGAACGTTATAAAGTAGAGATAGTTCAGAGGCTCTCCGATAATAAATCTTAATCTCAATATTCAGAGCAAAAATAGTCACAGAACAACCTACCACGTTATTAAAGAAGAGACCAAAACTTTCAGAATTGTTAGAAAATACTCTTCTCCGAGCCATTTGTACAAACTCATTCAAAAGACTCCTTCTCCAATAATGTTTACATTCCATCTGCTATGATCGGAATGAATATTAGTATTTTTCACGGGAAACAGAATGTGTCTCATCTCAACGCAGTTTAGCCTAATTCTCCATTAGGACGCTGTCTCAAGTGTCTCAATTCATCTCGCCATGAAAGCGCATGTCAATTTATAAAGAACCTATAAATCATGCTATTATATTATAAGCTTTTACAGTCATACCTGAAAAAAAAAATATTTTTTTTTAGCCGCAATGCTCTTGAATGCTCGTACTTACATGAACAAGTATTTTTTTCTCAATGTTGCTCAAGGATGGGAAGACTTTCATAGAATTTTGCCTGCAAAATATCGCGCGATTCGACCATTTTTATGGTCTAGGAGAAAATTGCGACGCCGTCTGGAGTGATCTCGTCTCTCGAAGATGTCAAGTTCGTAAGCCATGTCCTATAAAGAAGAGTTCGACGTTCATTTTCTCTTCTGAAGAGTCCATCAAATTTAGAAGAATTTCACGCGTCTCTGTTTTCGCTAGAACTTTCTTGGATGAGATTGTATCTTCGATCGTTGTCGCATCGAACTTGTCATCTGAAGCGTTCATTTTACTTAAAATGTCTTTCATTAAGTTCTTTAATCCTCATGATGGCAGCTCGAACCGGGTCACCGGCAACTCTGCAGAAATTTTTCATTTTGAACAAGTGCACTTAGTGCTTGCCTCAGAGAACAAGGACCTGTCAAATCGTTTACCTCTTGAATTATAAAGAAAATGAAATAAATCTGATTCACAGATACGGGAATGCGGAGTCATGTAGTATATAGATCGTTTATTCTGAACTCGAAAATTTTAAAAGAATTCCCCTACAACTTATTGAATTGGATACAAATTTTACATTATTTGAAATGCATGGTGAACAATTATGCAGAGTCCAAATTTCGCTTTATTACGAGTCCAGATTTCGCTTTAATGCGACGTTGCACTCGATCGCGGATCGTGCGCCAGGTGATACCCCAATCGAAATTTTATCAAAAACTCCGCTCATCTATGTAAATATTTCTGTCTTCATTCCAGGTCCTCGGTAAAGTTAAATTTAAAAAACCGGAATCTTCTCACAAATACTTAATTATTGATGATAAACTTGATCATTCACTTTAATTCAGTTGCTAGTGTTTGGATAGTAGAAATTTTTATGGCAAACTAACCTACAAGAACCTTAATTTCCTTGTAATTTTCGATAAGTTTTAAATTAGGTGCAAAATAATCACTATTACAGACTTTATTGCAGCTGCAATATTCTGTAATGGCGCTGGAAAATTTTTTCCATTGACGTTTTTTACACAGACTTTTTTTAGGATGAAAGTACATGCAGGTTTTTGCTGCTCGGTTAAGATATTTTATTTCCAGGAGCGAGTCTTAAAGAACTATTTAAATACGCACACGTTTGTACAAGTAATCACATCAGATATGTTGTCAAAGAAATCACACAGAGTTGTGTAGTTACGTGCTCGTTTGTCCACTCAAGAACATCACACATCTTGTCAAAGAAATCGTACAGAGCAGTGTAGTTAGGTGATCGTTTGTCCACTCAAGAAAATCAGATATGTTTTGAAAGAAATCGTACAGAGCAGTGTAGTCAGGTGCACGTTTGTTCACGTAATCACCTCAGAAGTGTTGTTAAACAAGACTTAGTTACCCGATGCGTGTACCGCGACAGGGGGGTGAAGCCCCTGCGCTGGGAAGGTGCCAGGTGTTGCTCCTAAATAAGCCGTCCCAAGAAGACCTTCGTACTCAGATCACCGCCCTGGTCCAACCACTCCAACTATACCTTTATTCTTAACGAATTGCCCTCCTCCAAACTCAACACAAATCTTTCCTGTCCCGCTAGGTTTATGGGATCCCACGCTGCCTTGAACTTTATGATTGCAGGAAAGAGCCATTATTTACATTTTGTTTGAAGTGATCTGAACGAACGTTCTATGGTGGAACAAAAAAATCTAAGTATGTGTATCTTCTGCGAAAAATCTGTTTTTCCTTTGGTTGGTTCTGAACCGTACGAATTTTATTCTTGGAAACTTCACAATGATGACAATGGAAGAGCCCACTCCGAGCAAATAATTTTCCTTTCCTCGCGGCTGTAATTTTTCACAATTTGTTTCACAAAAAAGCTTTTTCAAACACGTTTTCATTTAATTGAGTCCTGAAAACGTAAAAAAAATAAATTCGTCACCTCAAAGACTACGCGAATAAATTGCAGCGCGTCGAATTTGGGGCTTGAACTTCCTCTCCCGCTTTATCCCTGCAGTGAACTGCACGTTCCCCTTTTAGTGAGCTTTCCCTTGTCACCACATCACTTGTTATTTGACGCAAGCTTCGTCGAATATTAAAAAGAAACCTTCTTCCGCTTGTCGAAAGAAATCTCTTTTTGTATGGCTGTGGACGTTCTTTTCGTTTGCGCTGTAATAAAGGCAGGCCGGTAGATTGCCTGCCTGCTTGCTTGGTGTCTGGTAGAAAATTTATGTGGAAAATAGGGAGGGCGACACCAAGGCGGATGTTTCTCGCCCACAACCATTTGTTTCAGTAATTTGCAATTTGCGGCGGAAGTTATTCGCGATATGGGCTCCCTGGTAAGGGAATGGCATGGTTACCTGCCCTGTTTGGAAGCGCTAATGCGACCTGTAAACCTACCGTTCACATGCACCTCACTTTTGGCTGTTCCCCCAGGTCTTGTATATTTTGCTTAGCTTTTGTCTCGAACAGAAATAACCTCATTACAAAATGCTGTTTTAGTCCAGAGAAAGATTACCTTTGTTTGTTCTTTCAATTTTATCATGAGTTGTCGTTTGGGTTGATAACCCAAGCTCACCCGCTGTGTTGTTTTTTATATACAAACTCATATTATATGCGAGGTGTTCAAAGCATGCTATTGACATAAGATTCACCATCACAAAGATAGAATAGCGACCAGTGATGGTAGTTGCATTGCGTTTTGTGGTCTAATGACATTGTTACATTTTATTCAGTTTTTCCGACTAACTGTGGACAGTAAACTTTACGAACAGAGCAGACCAAGTATTTGTCATGGTTCTGCGTTTATCCACTTATGTTGTGTATAATTTCGATTAGTTAAGTAATGCACATGCATCTCGTTACAATTACTCATCCCTAACTCTAATTATTACTCGCATTACTTAATGCTAACCTTGTATTCAAGGAACAGGAAAACATGAAATAAAAATTGACAAAATAAAACTAGCCAAAAAAATCTGTCAAACCTGTGATTTGCACTGTCAAACTTCCCAAAATTTTTAAAAGAATCATTGCTTAGTTTTCGGATCTTTTCCATGAGCTTCAGAGAACGGCAGCGACCCACAGGTCTTTGTGCTTATGTGCAAAAATTATTATACTACGTGAGCCTTCAAGTCATAAATCTCGATTTCGCTAAAGTTGAGCTCTCCCTCTGAGTGTTTCAGCTATTAATGCGTTGTTGGGCAAAATTATGGGCCAACTTTACTGAAATCCAACTGCGCTGAGCTTCTTTGCAGCGCCAGACGACGGCTAAAAAGCGTTTACGCGCTCGTATGTTAACAGCGATGCTCCTAGGCTTCCGCCGAGGGTGTTAAGGCTTGATCTTTCTCATTTAAGTTATATTATACGATCACTTGCTGTTCTTCTCATTAGGGACGTTTTCCTCTCTCAATCTGCATTGCCAATACGAGGCTCTGATTTATCACAAATACACTTGACTTGGAGTATATAGATTATAAATACTAGCGTGAATCCCGTGATATTTTACTCATTTTGTTCATATGTTATTGCGTATAATTCTCTGCCGATTTCCGCTACTTCTGTATCCTTGGGGGCTATAAAATTTCTTGATATGGCAGAAAATGCGTTACTTCAGGTCGTTACTTTTCTTTAAATTGTTCGGTTTAACATATCTCATATCATTATAACAACTGTGTGGAGCAATATTCTTTTCATTTATTTCGCTGTAAAGTTATAACTTTACGTGCAAATTATGTGTGAACTGATTAACGCTCCGTTGTTCAGAGCGCAATTAAGTATCATGCCATCTTTTATTCATCATCACCGTCCACTAAGACGGAAACTCACTGACGATTCGACGACATCGGAAGTTGGGAGTAAAACTGAGCTTATCGAAACTGTTGTTGTTGTAAATGATAGGGCAATGTTTAGTAAGGATACGCGTTGTTTTATCCACTGAAGAGGATTATGGACAGGGTTCGATTTTCATTGGTACGGACTATCGTCTTCCATTATATTTTAAAGACGGACGTAAATAATTCATTTGTTTGAACATCGTTTTACGCTTAACTTACCTCATACTGTCACTGCTTATTCGTATTAAAGGCAGTTTTTGAACTTATACTTATTTACTGTACTTTATGTCCTACTGATTTACATGTGCGTATTTGGTCTAAATACCTATTATGTTCTATTGTGCATTCAGAAACAACCTCATCAAGTATTACCCTATGAAAATAATTAATCATGTACATATAAAGCGGGTTAAAAGTAGTCAACGTACGGGATGTAAATGTATTCTTTTTCCAGCGACCAAATTCTACTGGATGTGTATTATGTGAAACCTTATGCATTATCATATCAGAAATGATTTTATCCTTATTCAACTTTCTAGTTTTTCAGATTTGAATAATGCCTTTGTCTAAAGTAATCGCCTGCAACTTTTTACATAAATCTCATTTTGTATCTGTCACGCTTCTGTAATAATTAATGCCTCGTAACGTGCGTTTCCTTGTGTGCGAGCAGCGCTGCAGGAGAGCGACTCTGCCGAGTACGTGTGCGAGGCGTCGTCACGGTCAGGGCAGAGCAGAGCTCGGTGCGCCCTGCTGGTCGTGGGGGCGCCAGAGTCCCACCGCATGTCACCCCACAAGACCCCGCACCCACCCACCGTCGAGGACGTGCCTGGGGCCCCCAGCCGCCCACGAGTTGTCAACGTCACTGACGCCGGCGTGACTCTCGCTTGGAGCGCTCCCCTTCGTGTGGGGAACCGACCTCTCATAGGTTATCGAGTGTCTGTGTTTACTGCGGGCTGGCCTAATGAGAAGAAACCGGACTCTGATAATCATCGGGTTTTGAGTGCACTCAAGTTCCACGACGTGACGAATTCCCGCAGAGGTTGGGTTCCCATACACAAGCCCGTCATCGAGCCCTACATCTACATCGAGCTCATCAGGGACCATCCTCGCCTCGTGGTGGTCCAGGCCTTCAACGCCCTTGGAGACTCTGAACCCTCGGCGTGGTCGCCGCTGCTGAGCGCCGCGCACCAGGACCTCAGTCCGAGCGTGCGCACGGAGCGCGCCAGCCCCCTAGCGGGCACTCTGGTCAACCTCACGGCCGTCACGCCGCTGCCCAATGATGCTCTCAGGATCACCTGGCGGGTAAGTGCTGCAAAGCAGCAATTGTGTTATTGTTTTATTTTTGTTCTTAATTTGGATGTTCAATTGCCCATGTTGTAGTTTTTTCACGATAGAGCTCCCCAATGGATCAGATGCTGGGTTACTGCTTATCTATGTACACTATATAGCATGTTTCATTTAACTTTTAAGTTAATGAAATTTTTATATCCTTGCACTCGAGTTTCTCTGTAATTCTGTTGATTTCGGTACCTTTGGATAAAATTCTTCGAAATTTTCTTCAGTCCAATAGTTCAGGTTTCGTTGGATAACATTTGCTGCTCCTTTATCTCATAAAACTTTTTTGCGATAGTGAAACCTTTTGAAGGAAATGGCAATTTCTTATAGAAGCTCCAAATCCCGGGTCTCCCACACGATCACTTTTCGTGATCGAAAATTTCGACGTAGATTTCTTTGGCTTTGTCGCAGTGTGGCCGGAAAGCGATCAGTTGGAGGAAACGTGCGACCCTTTAGTGGGGTTTCCATTTTCAATGGCCGATGCTGTATAGAGCTGCCTGAAGTAGACGAATGGCGGCGATAAAAGCCGATCCTTGCGCGCGCTATCGCATCCTGAATTATATCGCTCATGGCAACAGGCCCCTCGCCGGCACTCTATTGTGTATGTGGCGGGCATTTAAGGCCACGTTTTATGATCTATTGTTGTTACCCGCTTTAAATACTGCCAAAATTCTTTTTTAACTGCCATTTCATTCATACTCTTATCTTACCAATATTTTAGCCAATCCATAAATATTGCGGGCAAAATATATACCCGAAGAGATGTCTTTTCATTTTTACTATTATTGAGCTTTTTTTAACCATTTTAAAATTATATAAAGATTTAGCGTTCTCCTTTCGCCGTTTCTTCTGTTGGAGTTAGCAACAGTTCTTTCCAATTTCTTGAGTATTAAGTAACTTTTAAGCTATTTTTCAAGTAACTTTTTAGCCATTAGGCATTAAAGGTATATTATTAATTCGGAAAAATAGTAGCTGAAATTTCGAAATCAGTAAGGTAGTTTATAAGAGAAGGCCTGCAAAATAGTGCTATAATGTTATAACTGTTAATTTTTATCTTAACACAGCTAGCGGCCAATTTGTAAACGTTTGTTTGAGCCAAATACATTTTTTAGAAATAGCAGGAGGAAATTGAAGAAATTCGGTTTAATTCTTCTCTCCTTGATTTCTTGCAAACCTAATATATGTGCTTTATATATAATTGCGCGAAAATTCAAGAAACATATTTATCAAGCTAGCTGCATGGCATTTTCACGACGTTATATTTTTAGCTAAAATAATTGGCAGAAGCGTTGTTAAAAATAACCTCGAAAATAAGTTTCAAGCTTCCGAAAGATCAGGGAGGCAAAAAATTTTTAGCGTCCAGAAAACTTTCAGGTTGTTATTTTCGATATTTTCGTTTGTAGGTTTGTTCGTGTCGAGAGTCATAAGACGAATCTCGTCGCCGAAGGGTTTGAAATGAATCGTAAGGTTAAGATTCATAACGTTTTCAAACGCTTACCGTTCATAACGTTTTCAAACGCGCCAAACGAGAACGATTGGAGTTAAACTTTTTGAGCGTGATTTACTTTGAATTGTTCGTTATTATGTAAGTGCTCGTATAATATGGCCATAATATCCATTTCATCGCAAACGAATCTCAGCGACCCATAAGTGCGACTTACGAGATCTCCTGCGCTGCGCAGGATTTTTGTTGTTATTCATCATCATAGTACTCGAAGAAGAAGTAGAACGTGATCTTTCATCAGCTCACTCGCGATTGAACCGCCCTACCATACGGGCGTGGCTGGATGCGGTCACCGTGTGGCGGTTTAAAGACAAGCTTCTAGATTTAATAGTGGCGCTGCATTCCGCCACTTTTTTCCTTGCCAGGATCATTTATTGCTTTATCCTTGTACCGCTGCCGTCGAACATGTCCGGATGAGTCCACCGTGTTGTTAGTATAGAGAATCAGCCTAGGCCCTAGATAATGACCCAATCTCCAGCGCTTCATTCTGTCCGTACTTTCTCGTAAAGGTGGATTATTTACTAACTAATTATTGACCAGCGTGGCAGGGGATCAACTGTGCGTATTCAACACCAGTACTGCACTCCTGCGCTAGGTTCATGCGTTGTGACCACCTAAGAAATATTCGCCCCTCGAATTGCCCATCACCTTACCATCCGAGCCAGGTTTCTTGTTCAAAATTAATGTAGAAGTTTCACCAGTTTGCAATGTACATTCTTTTCCATTGCGATTTTTGCGCAACTCAATTTTTTTCAATAAATGAAAGCCAATATATCCACAATTCGTAAAAATAATTTATCGAAATTGAACTTTCCAACTTGAGCTGTATAAATAATGTGTTGGGTAGCCTTCAAGGTAAATAATGTGTTGGGTAGGGTAAATAATGTGTCGCGCGCCCAAAACTGTGGGCGCGCGAGGCGTTTTCGGAAATCGGCAACACATTGGGATTGGCATTCGCTTTACGAACGATTACCTTTTTGGTCTCGAGGGCACGTTTGCTTTGCATGATAGAGTGAAGCCAATTTACGAGCCGAGGTACCAATTTTTCAGCAGAAATTTCTTGAATCTGCAAATTGCATTATACTGTCAGTAAATTGGCATGAATAGTCGGCGGTCGTTTGAATTGAATGGAACTTGCTTTTTGCGTTTGGTTTCGTTATCGCTATGTCCTGATTGAAGCTTCTCCAATGTCGTTATCATTAATGTTGCTCAATTATTCTGGCGCAGAAAATGCTGAAAATGTGTTATATATTCGTTCAAGATTACAATTCAATCAATTCACTTGGCATCATTAGAGGAAATAAAATAAGTTTAACAATTAGTTCAATTTCTCATAGGAATTAGTTGTCAAAAAATTATATAACTTGAAAGCACTTATTACTTTCTCCATATGATTTCATCATCACCGCCAAGTTTATTGACCTAAACTCAGTTTGCTATACAAACCCACATCGATATTCTTCTAATATAGTATGCCGGCTGCATATGATATTTTATCCACTTTATCCAAGATTCATTTTATTATAAACTAATTTCATTTAGAATAATAATTTTATGTTAGTATTAGTTTCATTTAAACGAGGTGCTCATCAAATTAAGCTCATCACTAATTCAGCAGCCACTCATTTATTTGCAAGCCTAAATGTGGACGTCCAAGTTGTTGGGCATTTTGTGGCGTCATTATAGAGGCACAAATTATAATCGGGAATTCCCTATGAGCTGATCTTATTTTCATTATTTTGAAGTGAGTGAAGATTGCATTTTGTGATTACGTTATTAGGACCCAAAAAGTGCTAGATTACACAATAAATGAAAAATTTCCAGTTTACTCGAATAATGTTGCGCATGTTGAAGGCGATGGTCGTTAGATATATGGCGTGGAGAAATTTGCGCCCATGCACTCGTGTTTATGCCGCGTATGTCTGCCGCCAGTTAGTTTATTATTGATTACTGCTCTTGGATGATATTGATCTTCAAGGTTTATTGAATATTTGTTCTAACTATTAGATTCATATTTAAACTATAACTCAGAAGCTATTATTTCCAATGCATGCATATTATTCAGGAGGCAAAGATGTATTGTACATTTTTTGGAAGGCGTTTGGATTGAGTCGTGATGTGTTAACACATTTTCAATGAAGATATGGTGAATTTATTTGGCGTGCTCCTTTCTTGATGAACTTGTGATCTTAGCAGACTAATGACACAACTGCTCATGTTACAAATTCTACCGAGACAGCCCTGACCGATGGTTTTTCAGGTACATGTCATCTAAACTCGTATTAAAACCTTCCAATCTTGTCACTGTAATTTAAAGTGTATTAAAATATTCTAATGTTGCTACTGTAGGTGACAGAAGAAGGCCGCCTAGTGGAAGGCGTGTACGTCCACTACCGCCCCCGCCGCGTGCTTCACATGTCGCCACCTCAAGAGACGAGTCAGGTTGACTCGTTGTCGTCGAGCGTGATCTCCCGCGACCACTTCACTGGCGCGTCTAACCACCGACACGTGAACCACTCTATCGCCGTAGCCACGGACGCGTCGCTGAGAAGCAATCACAGCTGGTCAACAGTCACCGTCATGAACGCCTTCGCCTCCTCCTATGTGCTCTCCAGACTCTCGCCAAACACCGAGTACGAGGTTTTCCTGGCACCTTTCAGTGATACTGAAACCGGGCAACCAACAGCACTTCTCACTAACATTACTTTCGAGAATGGTGAGGCACGAAATCATTTTACTAGTTTTAAATCTTTCATTTCAAACCAATAATTTAATTTTGGGTTTTCTAGTATGGTTCCTGTTACTGTTTATAATTTCCTTTGTAGAGATTACTGAGTTTTAAATTTGAATAATGAATTGTATATATAATCCTAGAATATTTGTCATTCAACGAATTTGCTCCTATCATTCACACTATATTAGTCAATTTGAATATAATGAATCTTAAAGTACATTTTGAATTATAAAGGATAAATATTTTATTTTGTTTACTATCTGGTTATTTATTTTGGCCCTGGCATGCACGACTGCTTTTGCTCAGAGCTTTGAATTGCGTAATCTGAGCGAGTGGAGCCGTCAAACTTGCTACAATGCTGTAGTGATTCAACTTCCGTTGAGATGCGCAACGACATCGCAACTTCTCGAGAGCAATTTCGTAAAAGCAGTGAACGTTAGTTTGACATTTCAATGATGTTCCGTACGAGCTTGCGACTCTGACCCATCACGCTAATAACTCAACTTGTGTGCGACTGCTTCTCGTACCCAGACCAATTCCAGAGAGTTTACCGAAGATCGCTACGACGCTCTCCTCTCTTATAGGCTAGCGGCTAGAAAACTACGTTCAACTTATGTCACAAGTTGGCGAACCGTGGAAACATGTCTCACTTCGTTATATAAGTGAATTCCGTTTGTTGCACGTTTCTCTTACTTAACATTCGTTAAGTTGTGAAAAACATTTTGTCATTCCAGCTAAAACCTTATTTTATCTGTCCAATTATAAGCCATATTTTCTTTTGTTAACTTTTCGTCTTCATTTGTATGTTTTTTACTTGAACGTTACATTAACAAGCATTTCCTCTCTGGGATCATTTTCAAGTCATGAAATCAATGCTCGGATGTTTTCATACGGGCCTTCACAGGGAAAAAAATAGGAAATGTGACTGTTGAAAACGTTCCGTGCTGACTGACCTTCGTTGATATTGATGCCAATTTTCTATGACAATTTTTTATCTTTAACTGTCATTCATATAGAGCTTGGGAAATAAAGCATAATTATGTTATTTTCATATTGTGTATTGTTCTTGTTGTTAAAAATGTGATTTCATGTTTAGAAACGATACTTTCGCTGGCAGTAGTTTTTTTCTGTTCTGTAAGGAGATAAATATCTATTCCATTTTCCTTGCGGATAATTTTTCCCAAGAACAGTAACATTATCCCTTGGACTCTTCGGATTTCTGTCCTAGTAGTTCTGTTGGCGGTGTTTCCTTACGAGGTGAAAATATTCTTATGAAAAGCAGATGCATGTGCATTCCAACCCACAAAATCTGCACAAGAATCGCCCCTATCGTTGACTTGGGATTGGTTTGAAACAGTTGCCATAAGGCCTGCTGCATATTTCACCCTTTCATACAGTTGACTGTGTTGTAATTATCGTGTTGGCGTCGTTGCCACAGCTCCAGCGGGTCCTCCGCTTGAAGTGTCGGTGCAGCTCTGGAACTTGTCTGCTGCTCTACTGTCCTGGCGACCTCCTGAGCCGCGGCTGGCAAACGGCGTCATCACCGCCTACCAGGTAACTACTTATTATTTTATTATTTCCTCATTCTATTACCTTATATAATTCGACTTCATCGAATTTAGTAACTTTTTTTTATCCGGAAATTTCGCGATGAATATCGTACAATTTTGCAATGGAAATCAGTCTAAAAGACTAGGGCAGTCAAGACCAATTATATTAACGATTGAGCTGGAATTTGTTTTACTTGTTGGTGTTATGAGACATCTGCAGGGAGAAATCGCGACTTATTTTGATGAAATATATTATCTGATCAGTTCGTTGGCTGATTTTATGATGAGTTTGTTGGCTGATCGTTAATTGATTTTATCTTAAAGTCAAGGACAGAAAAATCTCTTACGCTACACACCTGAGCGAACTTGCAGTTCAATTAGCTTAATTTGAAGCATTGTTTCATGTTGTGCTGATGTGTAACAAATTTTGAGAAATTGTTTCTCAAATTTGAATGTCATCATTTGTTCGTAACGAATATTTACATATTACGAAACGAGCAGCAATACTGTAATTACTTGCACCGGTGACGTGGGTATAGTGGCAATTAAATGACGAATATAATGATATTGAAAACTATTGTAAATAAACGATAAATACAGGACATCAACACATAAATAAACCGTATATTTTCTTTGCTCATTGTAATGAAGCTGCTGCTCCGACCGGTTCGTTTCATGCTCGTGTGAGGTACCTTCCTTGAAACACTCCTATCAACCATCAACAGTTTATTTTAACAGGACTTAATGGAATAGTTACTACATTAATACAATGGAACATAATAAATGGATCACTAAATACATACACTTGTCATAATGGATGTCAAGTACTAGTAACGGCTTGACCGTTTCAACAAGTGATCAGGACTCCTCCTTGATCCGAGAACACCCCAGACAAGTTCTTCAAACTCGTCCTTCAATCTGGTCGCTCTCCAAGCACACGGACTCCGCAACTCTACACGTGACACAAATTATTATGTTTTAAGACTGACAAGTTTGTTCAGTAAATACCCAATAACAACCAAAGGTGATGTGATTCCTAATTTATGCCAAATTATAAGCAATCATTTGATGCAATACTATGTCCGAAGACTAAATTAGTTGCTTAACTCTCCAATAAAGGCAGTGCTTGTCAGCTATGCCAAAGTCACCAAGGTGCGCTACAGCTAGTTGACAATACCGTTACTTGGGTTGCTAACTGTATAACTACTGGCTTCTATCTGACATGTCGCGGTGGGTTCCTATTGTTGCTGCCTTCCATTCAGTGCCTTCTAGAACTTAATTTGCAGTCTTACTCTCATGCTCTGACTTCTGACTCAAGATTCGCAGCCTTTCTGTAATGTAAAAACCAACCAAATTTAGGACTAGTAATGATAACCCCAACACTGAATATCGAACCGCACACTATACACATGAATAACGAACATGTATACATTTATCGATAAATTCGCGACAATTATTGCAGCACCACTGAATTTACACGCACATTATAACCACAAATATTACCAGAACTAATGTAACCACGTACGGTACCTCTTTGTTGGATCATGTAACAATTACAAATAAGTGAACATTCATTGGTGAAATCATATCGGTGGTGTATCAAAACTGAATCCTGTTGCGATCTCTGCATGACACCGGCGCTGCCTTTTCACAGCTATATTAACAAAATCTCCATCTTTAAACATCTGTTTTCTTATCCAATTATAGGTCATTCCAACTCAATTTTGATTGAGTTGGAACCTATATCAATTTTGATGTAGGTTTAAAATAATCTCAATATACTTTTTTGATATCAATTTTGATATAGGTTATTCCAACTCAATGATTGTAAGAGAAATTGTTATAAATAATGGCATTTGAATTCAACAGTCTTAACTGTGTTTATATATGATAGGCGCCGCTCATTCATATCGCTTCGTTACTTTGTTATAGGGTATTAATAAATTATATTCAGTGTACTCGACATTTAACGACTATATTTAATTTAATTGGTATTTTCTGCTAAATAAGACGTTATCGTTTTTAAGATTTTTTTTAAATCGTTTACTCGCCAATTTGCGCTCCATTTCCATGAGTGACGAGAAACAAGATTTTTTCATAAGTAAAAATCTACTGGCTATTAATTAGCACTGTAAAAACGCACCGATTTTCGCATCGCTTCAAAAAAAGTTGACTTTGGTAAGACCAAATACTCATGCAGAAGAGCTTACCGATTCGTGCTCTGTACAGTGAAACTTACTAAAACATTTATAGAAAGTATTGGAATATTTTTCTCAACTATATTAACGCGAGCTTGTGAATGTGAAATCCGATGTGATCCTTTATAAATTATTCGTTTCAATGCCACCTCCCTTCCAAGAACCAATTGATTTCAAATTTGTGCGGATTTATAAATATGCATGCTATTCAATATGTTTAGATTTTGAATGAAAATAACAGCTACATCATTTTTTTCATTCCAAATCTTTTGTTAACAATACCAGGAATGAAATGGTCGTAGAATTAATTATCAAGTATTTGAACAGTTGCCGATATTATCTATTGTCATTCTGTGCTCGGGGCTTTTAATGAGAGCGATGTTATGGAGCAGCCTCGCTAATGAGTGATCTGATCCCTGCGGTCGACATAATAGGGGGATTCCATCCCCTCTCCTGAATATCGTCCGTGCATTGGAGGATGGCTGATCACTGGCTTGTGTTCGGCCGCCCACTTCCAGACAAGGAAATTTCAGCATGAAATTCTGGCCTTGTCCGTTCACAGGAATGTTCCTGTGTCCCTGATATATTCTTTGCCCAACGCGGATGTTCTCGTGGAATCGTTCTCTTCGGTCGTCACTTGCAGACGCAAAGTTGTTAGAAAAATACTTACTTTCAGAACCTTTTCAGTTATACTTTACCAATTTTACCTTTAACAACTTATGTCCGATCTTACAAAAAAGTCTTTCTTCAATTTAGCCACTAAGAATGGTGAGACTTTGTGGCCATGTATTCGAAGGACTCGCAATCTCATGGAATTTATTTAACGAATTCATCAGAAGTTTTTTCAGTTCTTCAGAGGACATTTTTCCGCAAACTGTGATCGCCTTCGGCTGCCAACTTTTTTCTGATCAACTCATAATGTCGGTCTTGACTGTCCCATGTAGTTAATTAGGTTTAATGAAGCTGGTGGCAGCATGCACAAGATTTTCAAATCACCCGCACACATGCCAGCTGCGATGTTCATGCTCGAGTTTCTTAGCCATTGTGTGTTTTGTTGAGGTTTCAGGAATGACATAAGAGAGTCAGAAGCATAAAACCGCCGTGGTCGAGTAGAATTGTTATGAAATCTCTTGTCGGTTTTACTAAAAGATATCGTTGAGCGGAATCAAATTCGATGTTCAATTGGCTAAAAAAACCTGCGGCATCGATTTCTCCTTCCAAGTGAAAAAATAACTTACGCGATACTTGAACCATTGAGGGAACACTCTAAGCCGTAATAAGTTTTTCTTGTGAGTCTCAATGGAAGAAATCCTTTGGTGAGTCTCTGAACAATGAAGGAGCTTCAAAATTCAGTCATTTTATCCCGTGGAGAAACTATTCTTCTTCTTCTTCACTATTTTAAACTTATATTCATTAATTCATTTTCGTAGGACCTCGTCTTATCTTGCATGGTGCATGTTGGGTATAGGTATTTCCGTGTCCTGTGGGGCGGGGCAGCCTGCTGGTGTACGAATATACAATATATACCTTCTTGATTATTACCGTTTACACTAAATGAACAGAATTAACGTCACTATATTTTTTGCTCTCTTCACACCTTAGAAATCTAGCAGAGGAAAAATTTTACCTCACCTTAGCAAATCTCAAAGGTCTTCAACACGCCATTTACATGCCGCATGACGCACCGAACTCCGTCATGATCTACGAGCTTGAGAGAGAAATATGCACCATGTGCAATAATAATCTAAACATGTGTCAGAGAATTTTCTCTCAAATTGTTTAATACGTATTCAGCTGCTCCTTTCATACTGTGCATGAGAATTTGGCTCATTATGTGGATAAATTTTATTATTCCGCATCACAAACCTCCCACTTGAGTCGGCTATCTGCCAGACACTAACGAAGTTTTTTGTCGGAAATGGAAATTAGAAAGTAATTTAGCAGTTTTCATTTAATTCTGCCTTGCGCGCAGAGGTTATTTCAGTTCATGCTTCTATAATGTAGCGTCTTGAAATTGTGCTTTTCTGTTGCTTTGCCAATTTTTCCCGCTATCTCCATCCAACAACGAGCCAAGATGATCTTGAGGTGAATGACGCCCGTGCCGACGTCACGGGCTGAAAAATCGAGAACTGAAATCACCTATTGTGCAAATGTTGGATTTTTTAATCATTTAAGTTGATTATAAATCACCCGTTATTAAAAAGGTTTACATTTAAAAACTCTTCAAGCGGAAATTCCTTGACTGTTCATTTGTCTAATTTATATATTTAGAAATAAATTAGAATAATTCGGCCTTACGACTTCAGTATATAACGAAGCGGTTTAAGACCACAACCGAACACTCTCCATGACAAAGAGCCGCGCATCTCTAATGGCTGATCTTAGAGCGCATTATATTAACGGCCATCCATCCAGCGTCTGATGCGTTTATTCCAGGAGAGTGTGTAATGGAATGATCACCGCACCCAGGGTGTATGGAGCAGGGTTGTTTGTGACTTCTTAGTGAATGCAAACAACTTGTGGATGTCATTAGTCTGGACATCAGTGCGTTCACTCCAGATAATTGCAGAACAATCTCCCAAAAATTTATTCAAAAGTCTTATCCAATCTCCGAATAAAAAACTATCTATTCAAAAGTCTTATCCAATCTCCAAATAAAAAACTATCTATTCAAAAGTCTTATCTAATCTCTGAATAAAAAGCTATCTATTCAAAAGTCTTATCATTCAGTCTCTGAATAAAAAACAATCTATTCAAAAGTCTTATCATCCAATCTCTGGATAAAAAACAATCTATTCAAAAGTAT